CTCTGCTTTTAAGCTTCAAATATTTAAATATAATGTTTATGACAAAATATTAACATTTTGAATTGGTAAAACGTTTATTAGTTTATTTTTTTCACAAAGTAAATAACTAAAGATGATAAAAATATTACAATGTATTATTCAAATAAGTAGATCCGGTAGAGCTTTTATTTCATCGAAATCAATCTCTAAATCGAATTTCATGTTTGTCTGCTTCAATTTGAAAAGTCAATACGTTTTGTTTTCGCATTCATTTCTATCGGCGAATAAGGAAACATCAATGAATAAGTGTGAATGCTATTCAGACAAAACGCCATTATGTTTTTCTTGAATAGGACAGCTATGAAAAAAGCAATGGTCGATCTTTTTCTCTCAAAAGTTTCCTATTACAACGCTGATAGTTCCTCTAGATATTCACAATTTCCATTTCTTTGATTTAAACACTGCTGATATCGACAACAAAAAACACAGTGCATACTCCACATCGACATTTCTTGCCTTTCAATTATCTTTTGCGTTGAAGCGTACTTATCTGTTGATATTGTTCTTTTCAATGAAATTTAGGTTTGTCAAGTTATTCTTATCGCTCTCTTCACTCGTTTGTCTTTCTTTTGTGTCTACCAATATCAAGTTTGTTTCATAGAGACAATAAAAGTCAATGTAAAAACATAAGAAATAACAGTTAAAAAGAAGAGACATAAAATTATTGGTGTTGTTGGATTTTTCTCTTTCCTATGTTATTCACATCGTGTTTACCAATAAAGCTTGATAGAATTTACTATGGATTGTAAATGAAAATAAAACGTGCGCATTTTACTTCTTGTGAAGCCTATAAGAAAAAGACGGGTATCAGATTTCTAAATAAGAAAGTTGCAGGTTATCCAAACAACAGTTTTTTTTTGTCATACTCAGTTATAGATCAAAAGTCACAAAATCACAGCCAAAATGAGTCAACAAGGAAAACATTATATGGCTGAGAACTATTTCGTCATATGGGCACATAATAGCACTGATCCAGCAAACCAAGCTTGCCAGAATATTCTCGCACAATTACGTGATGTTGTCAATGAAGTGAAATCTTGTTCGACAATTGAAGAATTTATCCAAACTCTCAATGAAAACAAAGAGAAATTGGCATTCATCGTTTGCTCTGGTACATTTAGTCAATATCTTGTACCAGATATTCATGATATGGAAAAAATACATGCCATATACATCCTATGTGGGAACAAACAACGATATAAAGTATGGGCCAATAATTGGACGAAAGTGAAAGGTATTCATACATCAATCAAGTCAATCTGCGAAGCCTTAGTAATGGTACTCAAGCAACTGAATGAAAGCAACATGTCAGTAAGCATAATTAGTGAAACTGAAGCAGATTCCAATGAAAATCTCGATCAACTAGAACCCAAATTCATGTATACACAAATATTCAAAGAAATTCTTCTTGATATAGAACATGACGAAAAAGCCATCAAAGATCTGACTAATTTTTGCCGAGAATTGTACAAAAACAATGACGCAGAAACAAAAATTATTAATGAATTCGAACATACCTATCAACCATTAAAGGCTATTTGGTGGTATACACGTGAATGTTTCACGTACAAAATGCTTAATGGAGCCTTACGGACACTGAATGGTGATATCATAATACGAATGGGCGTTTTTCTTCGTGATGTACACCGACAAATTGAAGCATTGCACAAGAAACAAGTCAATCAGTACGATGGAAAAGACTTTAAAGTTTATCGGGGTCAGGGCTTATCTAAAAATGATTTTGACAAACTGGAAAATAGCAAACGCGGGCTTCTATCCTTCAATAACTTTTTATCCACAAGTACGAAGCGAGAAGTGTCGCTAGCCTTTGCCAAAGGTGCCTTAGGAACAACTGGTATGGTCGGTATTCTTTTTGAAATGACCATAGATCCTAATATCACGTCGACACCATTTGCCTCGATCCGTGAAGTCAGTGATTTTGTGGAAGAAGATGAAGTACTCTTCTCAATGCACACAGTTTTTCGCATCAATGACATTAAAAAACTTGATGACAAGCGTCCACTGTATCAAATAAATCTTAAGCTTACGTCAGATGATGACAAGAAACTCCGTCAGTTGACCGATCTTATACGAAAAGAATCTCCAGGACCAACTGGATGGACGCGATTGGGTAGGTTGCTACTTAAAATAGGTCAATATGACAAGGCGGAAGAGTTATATACGACGCTATTAGAACAGGCATCTAATGATAGTGACAAAGCAAGTATGTTTCATCATCTTGGAGAGGTAAAAAATTATAAAGGGCAGTACAAAGAAGCTGTTTCATTTTTCGAACAATTCTTCGAAATAAATCGAAAAATTTTCCCAGAGGATAATCCTGCCTTCATTACTTTCTACAACAATATCGGTGAGGTTTACAGAAATATGGGTAACCACACGAAAGCACTTGAATTTTATGAAAAAGCGGTTAAAATCTTCGAGAAACATTCTCTTTTGAATCATCCTTACCTGATGCCTACCTACAACAACATCGGTTCACTGTATAAAGATATGGGCAACTACTTCAAAGCACTCGAATTTTACAATAAATCTAATCAAATACTAGAAAAAACGTTGCCGGCTAATCATCCGAACTTATCCGTTTCGTACAATAATATCGGTGGGGTATATAAAAGTATGGGATACTACTTAAAGGCGCTTGAATTTCTCGAAAAAGCACTGAAAATAAAAGAAATAGCATTACCTCCGAATCATCCGTCATTAGCCGTTTCTTATAGTAATATCGCTGGAATCTATAAGCATATGGACAACTACTCTAAGGCGATTGAATACTACGAGAAAGATATAGAAATATCAGAAAAAACTCTGTCACCGAATCATCCTGAGTTGGCTACTTCATACACTAATATCGGTGCGGTTTATGATGAGATCGGTGATTATTCGAAAGCATTACAATTTCACGAGAGAGCAATTAAAATAAAAGAAATAGCTCTGCCTTCGAATCATTCCTCATTGGCTACTTGCTATAACAATATCGCTACAGCTTATACAAACATGGGTAACTACTCTAAAGCCATTGAGTATTTCGAGAAAGATCTGAAAATCTCAGAAAAAACTCTGTCTTCGAATCATCCCAATTTGGCTACTTCATATACCAACATGGGTACAGTGTCTAGCGACATGGGCGACTACTGGAAAGCACTGCTATTTTTCGAAAAAGCACATAAAATCTATGAAAATGCTCTACCAGCTAATCATTCATCACTGGCTATGTCCTACACTAACCTTGGCTCTGTGTATCATGACATTGGTGATTATACAGCAAGTCTTAAAGCTCTTCAAACTGCTTTTCTCATTCTTCAGAAAGCACTGAAAGAGGATAAACTAGATGCTAGTGTTACATACATATGGCTTGGAAGAGTTTATCGAAGTATGAAAGACTACGCGAAGGCTCTGGAATATTTTGAAAAATGCCTGGCAATATTTCAGAAAGTGTTGCAGGAAAAGCATCCTCATCTAGCTATTTTATACACTGCTATAGGTGATGTTCATCGATTAATGGGTGATTATGAAAAGGCACTTTTATTTCATCGAAAAGCATTAGATATTCAAGAAACAGGTCAAGGCAACCCTCTCAAATGTGCCGCAACGTATACAAATATAGGTGAAACCTATCGAGAAATGAAAAATTATTCAACAGCGTTGACATATTTTCAAAAAGCATTACAAATACGTGAAGACAAACTACCAAAAAACCATCCTCATTTAGCTGAGATTTATCACAATTTGGCAAAATTGTATTTAGCTACGGAAGAATATAGCATGGCAATGAAAAATATTCAACAAGCAATAGACATTGGTCACAAGCATCTGTCTTCAACTCATCCTCATCTTTTGAATTACAAAAACACATTTGAAGAAATTCAAAATAAATTGTGAAATTCTGATTTTTTTTTGGTACTAAATAAACTCGTTTGAATTGCTATTCATTTATTATAATAAATAAGACAAATGGGTATACACATCAATAAACTCTCTCCAGACTGTTAGAAATATTAATGTAAATATGCTGTATAATAATGACGAGAGAAACCTATGAAAATTGAAGGCCTATCAGAGTATTCATCGCTATTTCCATCAAACTAAGGTCAATCTCTTTCAGTTGGGTTACGAAGCCACCAGACAGACTATGATATAATTTAGTAATTCACTGCGCATGCAGAAATAACATACATAAAACTTGTACATTAGCATGCACAAGTACGAAAAAATACACACGATGCATACAAAAGAAGAAGAAAAATTCCCTTTGGAATCTATGTTTTAGTTCTGATTTTCAAATTATTTCGATAAATTTTATTATTGAGCTTGAGAGTGTGAGTGTGGTTTTAGGTGCATATGCGGGTGTAGATGGCTATAGAACATACATGTCCTACACCTCATGTTAAACTCGATGCACTTGTTGTTGCTAATACCCTAAAAACTAGCCTTTTCTATGTATATTGGGGTATATTTTTCATCACTGTTTGCTTTGCAGTATGAAACTTTAACAAAGAGACACGTCCTATTTATTCAAATTATATGTACCTTGTATATGATTATCGATGGTCCTTTGAATCTGTCTGTTAAAGTCCTTGATGTTCAGTTAATTAATTAGATAGTGGTTAATTGATTAATCCTTTAGAATGTCTATCATGGTCTGTAGGAGAAGGGGGTATACAGTTTATACCCCACACAAATCAACACTTCTGGTAGATCATGCTTCATAAAACAAGAAGTTAACCTATTTATGAGAAAAATGATTCGAGTTCATATCTATATGATAGTTTTGCACGAATTTACATTTAGAGGTTTCATTGTTTTCTCTTGCATTTATATTCTTTACAAATACAAAACTTGATGCAAACGTTTTCTTTTCTTTTTCTTCATTCGATCACTATTGCTATTCATATTCATAAAAGAAAACATTAAGATGAGAAGAAAAACATATTCATTTTCACTTCGTTCATTTCTAACATATCAGTCTTAAATGGCATACGTAAACACAGATATATGTCGTCTCGATATGCACATTATTCAATCTTTTAGAACGTTCTAAAATAACTGAACATATAACAGAATAATAAACATTTTATAGTAGTGGCACACAATTGGTAGCGTAACAAGAAATTTTGAGGTAGAAACGACTGTCGGCTGGTCGTTTTGAGAATACTTGTAAGGAATGGACATTATCCGAGATTATAATAAATACATGTTGGACGTTATTTCGACCTTTGCGTAGTCTACTTTTTCCGACTCCGATAAACTCTGAAAAGAAATTATTTTTTCACGTAATATATATGAGTCTCCAAATATTAATCATATAGATGTAATTTTCATGGTTTTTTGTAATTGTAATTCGTTCAAAGATTCCATAAAGTGACCTAAATAAAAAAAACTCATTTTCAGCGAAGATTTGAAAGTACTTGGTCTTCACAATATTGAAAACTTTTATAAGATTTAAAACTTATTTTGTCAATACCCAACATCCACAAATAAAAACTTGCTTTGATTATACGGAGTGACCGAGAAACTAATTCTCTTCAAAATGACATACCTTCAAGTTGTTCACAAGATTTTTGACTGGGAGTGTGAGTCTACTTTTATTCTTCAATCTAGTCTCATATTCACACGCACAATCTTACAAGTTTGACCTTGTGGCATTCATGCTAACATCAATATTTATATTGTGCCACTACTTATGTAGTGTTTCAAAAATTTGTGGTTCTGAAAAATCTTATTTAATCTCACGATGTTCATGTTACAGAGATTTTTCGATAGGAAGACTAATCTTAACGACATCAACATGAGTTTGTTACATAATAGTCAACAGTATCAAAAACAAATATTTTGTTTTGCAAGATTTCTAAATCAATAAACCAAGCATCGAATAGGCTCTTAATTAAACATTCGACACGATGTATCATAGATTTTATACGGTTCTCTTCAGCGAAGTAAGCTCCAGTTTTGTACACTTGTGGTAAAATGTCTGAAGCGAACAGCTGAGTTCTGCAGTGTGAGTCAGTAATGACGACATAGACAGTATTTTCTTTGTGTCGATAAAGCATTGTAGTATGATTTCAAGCAACGTTGGCTACAAAAATTTTAACATATGAATTTATAATAACTAGTATTCGACAATTGTCCTCTAACACTTCAACAAAATCATGTTTGACTGATGGATACTTTATTGTAGTTACAGCCATTCGTATTATCTACAATCTGAATGAAAAAATAGCCGATAGAAGTCAGTTTTATTTTATTTATGTAAACATATACAAAGCAATGGTTATGCAAAAGACTGAAAAATGAAAAAGGTTTTATGACTATCATAGGTTTTTCGACTATCATAGGTTTTTCTCTATCAAAAATAACGAAAATATGTGATTTCCGATGATGAGGAAAGCAATTATTTTGATGGATTTCGCAGTCGTCGATGACTATGGATATTTGAAAATGAAATGTATGCATTGATTTTGAAAGAAACGAAGATTTGTATTCGCTTCATCAGTTCAACGTAATTGCTTTCATTTTCTAGTTCTTTTGTTGTCTCATATCATCTTCTATAGTACTGAACTGTGTAAATAATTTAAATATAGTCTTTAATATTTTAGTACAGCTTTATATAAGTTCATACTTGGTTGTAAATTCTTTCTAGTAGCAGAAAAATATCATTAAATCTGACGAACTAAAAATTCATAAATTTAACGTGACAAGTTGAATTCTAAACCAAATATTACGATACTGAAAGAATAGATTCTAATAGCGCTAATAATCAGAAAAGTGCTTTATGAGATAAGTGCACCATTTGCACTAACCACATACCGTAAGATGATTATTGTCTTTTCTACTTCGGTCAAAAAGTTATTAAACAGCAATGCGTATGTAATGAAGACGAAGAGTGACTAATTAATGTGCAAATCAAAAACAAAAAAACAACTTTAAAGATGTACCTTATTTTTTTACTCACAATAAGGAAAATGTGGACACAGATTATTATTTCGGTGGTTTAGGTGTGGGTACGAATACGAGTGCTGGGTGTAAGATTTAGACCGTGACCCCACAGCCACGTACCCACACCCGATATGAGAGTTTTGAAAGCTTTTCTAACTAGAGAAATGTGCAGAAAGAAGCATCCCCATAAAATTAAGCAAATGCGTGTATCGTCAGTAGAATGTCATAATTCACTGAAGTCCAATGTCATTAACCAGGCTGACTTTGCCTGCTCGATATCTGTCACGAGACTTGTGTACATGCATCATGATGAAATCACACACGAGTCCTGCGATAACCATATAGCCGATGCCAGATCCTACAAATAAAAAAATAGCTACTATCAATGACTACTGTCGAGCTGATCTTACCGATGGCGAGAAACAACTGAAGTGCATGGAATCGTCCTGAAGCACCAGAGATCGATACAACAAAACGAAGGCCGTGAACTTTTGATAGAAGTCGATAGGTAATATTGTTCAGACGATATTTATACGCCATACTATATGTGTTTATTAGTGCCTAGAACATCATACGACAAAACTAATTTTCGAAGTAATGACGTTTACCGATAGTTGATGCCTGGTGACTGTTTGTCGTCACCACTTTGCAGCAGACGAAAAACGTATTGGGGAAAGCACAAACGTTTGTCATAGTCAAAGTTGCATGTCCACTTTTGTTCGATTTCAATCACACCACCCTAAAAGAGCCATATTGGACAGTCCATATTTCACGTATTTACCTCACTGAGAAGAGCTGGTATGTTCGTTTGAAATTTCTCTAGGATGTCGCCAAGGCGAAAGATAGGACAACGTGGATCTCGAATACTGTGATATCGACAAGAAAAATTTGTATCATCTCGAATATTTCGCCTGTGAATGAAAAGTAAAAAATAGATATAAGACAATCGATTGGTGGTGATAGACGTCAAAACGAACAGATGTATATTGAATCGTTGAAATGTCACTGATGTTTTTATAAAAATGGTGAAATTGCTTAAGTCATCGATACTTATTTGATAATTTCTATGAAAGAAAGAGAGAGTTGTAGCGCATATTTCCAAGCTGAAAATGAGCACATTACGCGGATGCGCTCGATTCTTCAGGACACCACCCATTGATTTCGCAAACATTGATCGACTCATTTTCTCGACTCGGTACACAATTACCAGTGAAAAAGCCTAGAAAATGTTCGGTGAAAATTTCGTCATCTTATCAACTGGAAAAAAAACTTACCAGATGTACTTGGTGTCGCCTTGCCGGCTCGACAGCGATTCATCGTCTCACTATTGCAATAAAGCTTAGATTTCAGAGCCTAGTTCAAGTGTCAAGAAAAATATGCCAGCAAATATACTAGTTGATCAACTTCTTACACTCGGACAGTGATCTTCAGTCTGATCGTAAGTAACAATTTGACGAGTTGCAATGAAAAAAGCATTGTTTTCCTAGTGAACTAATAGTTAAGATTATAAAGTGTCCATTAAGTAAGTACACATACCAGTGGTGGAATGCCATACTCAGTTGTGTCCCAAACAATGCGCGAGTAATTGACTGAAATGCAAACACATTGAGTATCATTTGAGTGCGATCAAACAGTTCAATAAAAAATCTTACTAGCCAAAAATGACGGAACTTTCACATCAACCGATGAAACGCCTTTTACTTTGGTGACACTTGTTCCACGTGGCTCTTGGAATTCTTGATATCCTCGTTGGTACCACACAATGTAACTGAAGAAATTTATTGCATATTAATCGGATCGGCCACTAGTGCATGAGATACTTACAGAGCAATATAAGTGCAAATAATCAATTGAATGACACGATTGAGCAAAGCAATGCATGAATTGGGCACTTCAACCATTTTGACGGTCGAATAGGTAAAAAAAGTACTGGAAAAGAATGAGTG